GATTCTTATAAAGCATAATATTTTTGCAATAAAAGAATGTTCGATCTTCTTCATCCATGTAGGTTTCATATTTAGGCTAGTATTATGGAACTTTATTCTAACTTAAGCATACTTAGAAAGGGATGCGTGTATCTGTTAAATGTATTTGCATCCCTTTTTTACTGTACTTGAGAAGAGATCTCCGCTTGGGTATACATAGCTCTATGCCGTAGCATGCGCTGAAATTCAGTACATACAGTAAGTGTTGAATTTCAGCGCCGTGGCTCGAATTATGGCGCTCGGGTCACAGCATTTAAGCTGAGCTCTGGCCTCTTTGCGCAGTCTTCATTGTTTTTTTATATTTTTTTCGTGTTATTGTATTTTGTGACGGTGTGCAAATAAACTATTTTTCTTTCTCTCTTTCTGTATTTCTTCTACCGACCTTAGTTTTTACCACCAACCAACTTAGTTTAAACCACCTTCTTTAACTCCTGCCATCTCCTTGTCCACAGAGAGTCGAGCGCGGAGCTGGTGGCGGTCCGAGTGCCTATAAATGGCATGACCTGCATGTCCTGCGTCCGCAGCATCGAGGGATCCGTCAGAGAGCTTCCTGGCATCGCTTATGTTAAGGTAAGAAGTAAAAGAAAAACTGCTGAAAAATTATAAATTTCCGGCGTTGAAAGAGGTAATAACTGGTATTCTTATACGGATAAACATCGAGGTTTGCTTAACCAATATAAGCTGACCGTCGAATGTGTATAAAAGTCATACAAATGTAGACCAGTGATTAAACTGGTTTTTTGTAGTTTAAAATCTGTGGTGCAGTCTGTACCAGCGTTCATCAGGACTCAACGGGTTGCCGTGGCTCTGGCTCATAGTGCAAGAGTAGGAACCGGGTGGTTTTTAGTCAGTAAGAGTCTGACACTCCCTCTTGCCTCACCCGGACTGGAGAAGTCATTGGATGAAATTCCCCCTCAAATAACGATGACTTCATTTCACTACTTTTAGGAAATAAACCTTGTAGTGAATGGGAACCTTAGTATTCAAAGCGCAAATCAATTTTTTCAATAGTTATTATAGAATTAAAAGTAAAAACGTCTATTAATGTGATTTTTCTGTTAACATTATCTATAGTAGTAGGGATATAGTAATTTATCACGGCAAACTCTAACACATATCCCCATAATTATATTATTGGAACTGTTACCTAAATAATCGAAAATAGATTGCATAGATTTTCAAGGCCCGAGTGAATAGGTTGCTTATGGGACAACGTGCTATATCGTAGACTGCATCATCGCTTACCACCAGGCGAGATAGAGGTCAAACGTTGGCACATAAATTATAAAAAAGATGGTGATAAACGCAATCTCCAAATTAATATCAACCTTACAACCTACTAATTAAATTCTAACTTTACTTGCAGGTGGAACTATCAGAAAACGCAGGCTACTTCAGATATGAGCCGCGAACCATCTCGGAGGAGGCTATCCGGTCTCATATAGAAGACATGGGCTTCGAGGTGCCCACTGACACCACGGAACACGAAACCAGGTCCGTCTACTCGGTCTTTTTGTTGGTCTACTTGGTCTTTTCAGTAGACCAGTATTTATAAGAATAACAACTACTTTCACCAATCGCTCTTAAACTGTCGCTTATCTAAAAGTCACGTAGCACCTGAATTAACCTTTCTACTGTTAGGTGTCACTTTTAGGTTGGTGAAAACCAAAATGTCGTTAAGTGTCATCTATCTTACACCCAGGGGTTACTTTAAATGTAGAAGAGGTTGATTAAAATTAACAATACTCTTATCTTTTCAATAAGTGTTAAAACTTAATTTGGGCTTAATATAACTAACTAACAAAACCTTTGTAAGACCTTATATTATGTACCTACATTCAATTTATAACAATTAATTCATTAGTCTAGTAGTTGCAACTGCTGATTTGGAAGTTTTGGTTTTGATACGCAAGTATGGTTTTCGATTCAATTTTGTAAAACCATGTTAAGATTGTTTCCGCGAGCATACTCAGTTCAACATAATGTCATTTTAAACTTCAGAAGAATAATACTTTCACTTTGAATCTCACCAGAATGCCAAGCACCAATAACATCGCATTCGTAACGCATCCGTATCGAGCGTGTTTGTCTCTCTGATGGGTTGCTTCACTGGAGCTGGCCATCCAGAACGCCGAGTTATTCGTACTGGCGCTCTAGTCCATTGTGGAGCTCAAAAATCAAGATATCTCACCACAAACTTACCAATTTCAGAAACCTGTTACCCAAAGAGATACCGACTGACCTCTTAATCGACATGTCTGGCACGGGCGAGATGGATGAGCAGGAGGTCCTGTTGTCAGTCGTCGGCATGACCTGCCAGTCCTGTGTCAATACTATTGAGGGTAAGCATCTTTGAAATTAATTGACTAGATTCTGCCCGCGACTTCGTACGCGCAATTCCATTTTGTCCCGTTCCCGTCGGATTTTCAGGATTTTTTCAGTCTTAAGAACCTTCTCCTACTAATAAAAAATACAACAAATAAGATTTTTTATAATAACTATCGTGAGACATACTAGATTAACTAAATATCGTAAGTGGATTACTCACGTAAATATACTGAGAAAAGCTCTACTAGTTTCGAACAACAGAGGTCGCCGTGATGTCGGCGTAGGCTGCTCATGAGGAAGAACCCCTCTGTGGTTCGAAACTAGTAGAGCTTTTCTCAGTATATTCACGTGCGTAACCCGCGATTTTTAAAGTGAAATCGGTCCAGCCCGAACTCGTGATGTCGTGACCAAGGGAAAAAAGGATATTATAGTACATACATATAGATAATACTAAGGCTCAACTGCTTTATGCGACTCAAAATCCACTACGAATTTTAAGACGCACTTAAATATAGTTCTGTCTCTACAAATTGTTTGTTAAAGACAGAGATAGCACGATATTTAACATAACATAACATCACGCCTTTTATCGCCGAAGGGGTAGGCAGAGGAGCACATTATGCCACTGTACAATGTAACACCCACTTTTCACTATTTGTATTATGATTATCCCCGAAGGGGAAGGCAGAGGCGCACATTATGGCACTTAATGCCACTGTACAATGTAACACCCACTTTTCACTATTTATGTTATGAGTCCCATGTAATAGGGGGTGAGTCTATTGCCATATACCAGGCACAATTCCAGACTCTGTGTGATCCACAAATTGTTCAAATGTGTATGTGAACTTATATGTTTTAAACGCCATGATTTCAATTCAAAGTTCTTCTCGTTTCAGGCGCTCTCCGCGAGCTTTCAGGCGTTAGATCAGTATCAGTGCGTCTATCAGAGGGCACGGCACGGATCCGATACGTCCGCGGTACGACTACGGCACGACAACTCGCCGATACCGTGTATGCTCTCGGATTCTCTGTTACTGTGTTAGCTGTTGATGGGGATCAGTACACAGGTCAGTATTGTATTAATATCTAGTTTTTTCTAAATTTTCTTTAATCCCCTAAGTTGTTTGATAAGTATGGGGATCATGATGAACTTTTAATGACTTACCTACGTTAATTATTTTCTCTAGTTATTTCTGTTCAGAGACCGTAAAAACTTTTAGCTTAAGTACATTGGTTTGCCAAGTGTGGTGATTATAGAAAATTTTTGCTATTCAAATGTTTTTAGTTTCTACAATGATGTAAATATCATCACTATGATCGTCAAGCCTTCTGCCAAGTGTAGGGATTATGACAATTTTCGTCTTCTATCTGACAATGTTAAATGGTTGTTTACAGAAACGACTTCACAAAGCAAGAGCGAGGAAGGATCAGGTGATGGAGCGAAACCACCTTCTCCGGTCAAGAGTAGAGCACAAATTAATGTGAGTAGTAATATTTTTAATGTTAAACAATATTAATGAACTATTCCACCAATCAAGTCCTTTCGTTTGATATCCATAATGGAGGTAGTTGTGGAAACAATTAGATTATATTGTATGGTCATCAAGATTAAGAGTGTGTACTAAATATCAGATCGATCTGTCGTCAGGAAGGGGGGGAGACATTACAATTACTTGCACTCAAACAAACAAACGGTGTAAGCTAAATGTAACCGCTTAACAATATGATTTATTAAGTATATAGTCTTGGTGGCCCGGAAGTTTAAGACGCCCATTTCTCATGCACGAGAGTGCGGCTTTGAAACCTTCCAACAGCAAGTACCAATGTGACTTTTTCCGAGTTATATGTACTCTCTAAGATTATTCAGACACCGCTGACAAACGGTGAAGGAAAACATTCGTGAGGAAACCTGGGCTTATAATCTCTAATTATAAGCTCGAAATCGCCATTGAGCAAGCGTGGTGATTAATGCTGAGACCTTCTCCGTGTGAGTAGAGGCCTTTGGTCAGCAATAACCACTTATGGGCTGTTGATGATGAAGTTAATAAAGTTGTATGTATATTGTCCATAGGGGTCCCCGCCAGTAGCTGAAGGTGAAACGTCTCGCTGTACGTTAGAAGTCCGCGGCATGACGTGCGCCTCCTGTGTCGCAGCCATAGAGAAACATGTTCAGAAGTTGTATGGTATGTATTTTGTACATAGAAATCTACATATTTTTATTAAATTGACTGACTGACTTACTGACTCCTTCTCACCCACTCACTCACTCACTCACTCACTCACTTACTCACTCACCCACTCACTCAACTACCTACTGACTCACCCCATTCAATCACTCACTCACTGACTGACTGACTCATTTAGTCACTCCTTCACTTACTGACTGACTGCTACTATTAGACCTACGAAGCTGAAACTAAGCATATATGTTCTTTGGTGAGTCCAGGGTAGCGCTAATCTAAGAGATTTGTTTCCGTAAGAAAATAAAAAATACGTGTCTAATGTGTGAAAATAATCTACCAGATGGACATTTAAATAAGTCATTTACCCTATTCATTTTATTTCAAACTATAGGGTTGTTGGATCTAATTAAACTGTCAAACAACGCGAGGACACCGGTGCCCGCAACCTGTGTTCTTTACTTGTGTCTATAATGACGGTACTCAAAGGGATAAATTAAAGCTTATGAAATTAAAGCCCAATTTGCTTATGGCAACTTCACGGTTACATCAATTTACTATAAACTAATCAAAATAGTTGCAACCCTAAGTGGTGGGTGAAAAGGACTGCGTGGCTATCGCCTTTCAGGGGAGGCCCTAGCTGGCTAATTCCAGAAGACCGCTAGGCTATCGAACTGGAGTTAGGCCTACTTAGGTTCAGAATAGGCTGCGAACTAGCGAACTCTAATCCTCTAGCTAGTAAAATGATAATTTGTTCGAAGACAAATCTTCATAATAGTAATTTGTAGTTGTGGTTGTTTTCGATAAATTATACTAGATGGACTGTATGTTCATTACTAAACTTAATTTTCAATTTATTCACAATAACGTTCATCCCCCAGGTGTTCACTCAATCCTAGTAGCTCTTCTAGCAGCTAAAGCAGAAGTGAAATACTCTCCCGCAAAGATATCAGCGGCGGACATCGCCAACTGTATCACCGAACTTGGCTTCCCATCCAGTGTGATTAGTGACTGCGATGGCAGTGGACAGAAGGATCTACATGTTGCTGTAAGTTATATCTATTAGTTTATATGTCAAAATCTAGTCATTTATTTTAAATAGGCCATTTTCGAAAGACAATCGGAAAACGTCCATTACAGAACAAAGTCCTACCTCTCAATAGATTGTTGCTATAGTCCCCGCGCTTGGTTAATGACGTAGGGATTCAGTGGCTGGTTTTATTGTTAAGATATTAATAACAAACAACATTAATAACCTGTGACATTCAAAGAGGAAGCTTTCTACATAATAGAGGTTTATCATAATCTCCAAGCTTGTCACCTGTTTGGATCGCAATTTGAAAGAATCAGGTCAAATTTCACAAGAAGTATGAAAATCATACTTGTGAAATTTGTGTTAATTAGACCACCTTTGAAAGTCAAACAACGTCTGTCTGTTCTTCCTATATTTTTAAGGCTTGTTGCCATAATCCCCATACTTGGCGAACAACTCGGGGATTGCAAATTAAGTGACAGTACATTTAACATATGAGTAATGTTTCACTTCCACGTATTAATAAAATTGTATTTATTTATATTTCAGATAAAAGGCATGACTTGCGCGTCCTGTGTCAACAAAATAGAGAAGAGTGTTCTGAAACTAACCGGAGTTGTATCCTGTACTGTAGCATTGACTACTTGCAAGTAAGTTTAAATACCTATTATATTAAACTAGCTTCTACTATCGGCTTCTTTTTTTATGGCATAAGCCGGTAAACGAGCATACGGATCGCCTGATGGTAAGCAATCGACGCCGCCCATGGACACCTGGAACTTTGTTGATATAATTGGGTACGTTCCTTAATCAAAAAAAAAATATTTCGACTGTTCAATGGCCACAGGCGTTACAAGTGCGTTACCGGCCTTTTGAGGATTAGGAGTTTGAGGATCGTTGGGGATTCAGGGATTGGGGAGATTGGGGGAAGGGGAGGGTAATTAGGCCTCCGGTAACCTCACTCACACAACGTTGTTTCACGGTTTTCTGCTCGGCCGTGGTATCACTCCGGTCGAGCCGGCCGATATTCGTGCTGAAGCATGGCTCTCCCACACTTAAACTTCTCTTGCGTTCCCGTGAGATAAAACGTAGCCTATGTGTTATTCCAGACCATAATCTACCCCTGTTCCAAATTTCATTCCGATTCCTTCAGCAGTTTTGACGCTATTGAGTAACAAACATACAGACAGACAAGCACACAAACATTTGCATCTTACTAATATTATGAATGGGAAAGTTTGTGGGTTATTGTGTTAGTATGTTATGTGTGTGTGGGGCCGTTCAAATATTCCGTAAGCAGATTTTTTACAATTATTAACCCCCCCCACCCCCACCCCCTTGTCAGCAAAAGTAAGCAAAGATTTTACCCCCTCCCCCTTTGCTTACGCAAACATTTTAAGTTATATCTTTTTTATATTGTAATTTTAATATTCTCTTAGATACCATAATGTCTAGTTCTTTGTCGGTCTCCGTTGTAATTATAATTTCAATATGAGGGTTGCCATTCATGTAAAAAACCGATGACTGGTAGAAAATGCCTGCGGCATTAAGTCCACCTTTTTGTACATTTTATGCATGAAGCATATTAATTAAATAAATAAATAAAATAATCATCATCTAGACTCCCCTACCTCCCATATCATCCAAAATAAGCAAAACTGAGACCCCCCCCCCACCCCCCTTGGTGCTTACGTAATACTTGAACGGCCCCTGTGGGGTGTATGTGTGTGTGGGTGTATATGTGTATGTGTGTGGCCGGTAACGCACGTGTAACGCCTCTAGTGTTCCAGGTGTCCATGAGCGACGTCGATTTCTTACCATCAGGTGATCCGTCTGCTCGTTTACCGGCTTATGCCATAAAAAAACTTTTAGTTAAGATATGGTTGGTAAAAACAGTTTAAAACACTAATTTTACTATACGTTTGTCCACAGAGGTAAGATAAAATACAACGCCGAGCAGATAGGTCCGCGCACTATATGCGAAGCGATCAACAACCTCGGGTTCGATGCCAGCGTCGTGACACCGCATAACAGAGGCACTACTAATTATTTGGAACATAAGTAAGTTGTGTTTTATTTATTTTTATAATTAATCGAGCGTCCTTATGAGCACCCGGTGGATCATAAGAAAAATTGCTCCATTCTGCTTTCTCTTTTATACTGACTGTGTTTTTTATTTCTATTATAATGATCCTTGTTTTCGTGTGTCAATGGCCAAATAAATGCATTTTCTTTCTTTATTTCTTTCTTTCTCCAAATGTCACGTGTGCACCCGTTGGATCATAAGGAACGCAGACGCTCGACGGATAAATGTTTTTTCTTAAAATGAATTTACCTACAACTATTTTTTATAGACTGCCTCGTTGGCCGAGTGGTCGCAAGTGCGACTGCCGGGCAAGGGGTCTCGGGTTCGATTCCCGGGTCGGGCAAAATATTACTTGGTTTTTTAAAAATTCTCAGTAGTAACACGGAATCTGGAGTAATGCCCGGTATATGGCAATAGGCTCACCCCCTATTACATGGGACTCATAACATAAATAGTGTAAAATGGGTGTTTCATTGAACAGTAGCATTAAGTGCACCTCTGCCTACCCCTTCAGGGATAAAAGGCGTGATATTATGTTATGTTATTTTTTATAGATTAAATCTACAATTTTTGCTTGACCTATATTTTTGAAAATCTGTTTCCTAGAAATGGTAAATTGCTCATCTTATTTATTTATTTTATTTTATTTTAAATCTTGAATATTATGTTTCGCGAAAGATTATTTTCTAGTACGAATTTTTTTTTTTTCAAAACATAACAGCTCTGACTATAATCCACCCCGTTCCTACTCCTGGTAACATTATACATTTTGTTGCAAACAGAGAAGAAATAAAGAAATGGCGGAACGCGTTCCTGATATCTCTGCTGTTCGGCGGGCCGTGCATGGTGGCCATGGCGTACTTCATGGCGGCCATGTCGCGCGGCCACAGCGCCCGCGACATGTGCTGCGTGCTGCCGGGCCTGAGCCTCGACAACTTGATCATGTTCCTGCTCTCCACGCCCGTCCAGGTCACACTTTTAACTGTACTTTATAAATTACTGCACGATTGGCTCGATGGCTGCCGCGCAACGTGTCGCGGGTTCGTCAACAATTGTATGTGAGATCCACAGATTGTAGTGAACTTGTATGTTTGTAAATGTACACACGACACAAGAGGAAATTTACTAAAAATCGCGGGTTACTCACGTGAATATACTGAGGAAAGCTCTACTAGTTTCGAACTACAGAGGGGTTCTTCTTGAGCAACGTGCGTGGTCGCGGCGACATCGCGCAGCTCACTGAGCAAACAAAGATTTTCTCAGTATATTCACGTGAGTAACCCGCGATTTTTAGTTAATTTACTATGTCTCACGATAGTTATTATAAAAACACGAGGAAACCCTTGTGTGGGTCAACGTTTCTATATAAGTAAATCAATGTTGACTTAACCCAGTCTATAGCAATTGGGTACTTGCGTTAATCAAAAATAAATTATTTCGACTGTACTATACAATTAAATATAGCATTAACGACATCATCCGTCGAGCTCTTGTCATCGCCGGTGTACCAGCTGTTCTGGAACCAAAGGGTTTGGCACGCGACGATGGTAAGAGACCCGACGGTATGTCCATTATGCCCTGGAAGCTGGGAAGGTCTTTGGTGTGGGACGCAACCTGCGTCGACACCCTTGCACCTTCTCATCTTC